CAGCCCTTGCACAGTGCAGGAGCCTCCTCTGGGATGGGGTGGGCGCTGGGTGTAGGTCCCTGGGGATCCCTGGTGGGATCCATCCCGTTCCATGGCTGGCGCTGGCAGGGCCGTGGGGATGCGGGCGGAGGAGGGAACGTCTCCAAGGAGCAGCCTGGGAATGAACGGCGTCAAGGACAATAAACTCTATCAAAGCCTCATTCATTAGGGAGGAGCCGAGTGCTGGCGTCTTTATCCACTCACTCCCTCTCCCAGCAGACTCCACTCCTCCGTTTCTGGCTGCTTTTGCCTGTTCTCCCTCTTTTCCATGTTTTCCTCCCCAACTTGGGGGCACCTATGGGGGGCCATACCCAGGGCACCGTGCCAAGGGCCATCCTTCCCCGACGTGGGCTGGGGAGCTCCCAGGGTTGGGTTGGGTCACCTTGGATCGAGTTGGGTCACCTTGGATCAGGTTGGGTTGGGTTGGTTTGTGTTGGAGTGGGTTGTGTTGGATTGAGTTGGGTTGAGTTGGTTTGGGTTGGTTTGGGGTGGGTTGAATTGGTTTGGGTTGGGGTGGGTTGGGTTGGGTCACGTTGGGTCGTGTTGGGTCACTGTGGGTCACATGGGGTTGTGTTGAGCTACATTGGGTTGAATTCCCGCTGCCGTTTCTGTTGGAAAACTCCCCTTTTTTCTCAGCCTTTGCAGGGATTTGATCTCCATCAGACACCCCTGAGCAGGGGCTGGGGGTTTATCCCCCCTGGCCACCCCCACCCCAAATTCCCCATCATCCCTTCTCCTTATGGAGCTGCCACTTGGAGCAGCCCGACCTGGCACCACCAGGCTGCTGGCACGTCCTCCTGGGGACATTTGGGTTATCCCAGGATCCCCCTCTGGAGTTGGGGAGCCCAACCCGGGGTGTGGGAGCCCAACCCGGGGTGGGCACCTCTGGGAGAGGGTGGGGGGAGCGATGCTGATCACAGGGGCCTTCCGGGGGGCTCCTCTGATCTCCCCCCTCTCTGCCCCCCTGCAGGACAAGAACCGGAAGCTGAGGCCCCTCTATGACATTCCCTACATGTTCGAGGCCCGGGAATTCCTGCGCAAGAAGCTCATCGGGAAGAAGGTACGGAGGGAGGGGATGAGGGAGGGGATGAGGGGACAACAGAGGGGACGAGGGGACGAGGGGACAAGAGGAAAGGGGACGAGGCCGGTGGTGACTCCAGGGGTCCTCTCAGGGGTCCAGGACCCGCCGGTGCTGGTGCTGCTGGTTTTGTGGGAATCCGTATGGACAACCCCGGGGCCCTTCACAGGGAATTCCGGGGTGCACCCGAATCTGGAGCACCCTTTGTAGGGTTGTGATCCCCCTTTCCCAGGAATGCCTCGTTGCTTCTCCCTTTGTTTCCCCGGCCTATTTTTCCGGGCTGGTTTAGCTCACTTCGGGAATGAGGCATGGATTAACCACCGGAGCGCACGCTCCGGATGCAATTTCCCAGTGCTCATAAAACGGTCAAATAAAATCAATTCCCTCCCTGGCGAGGCCGTCGCTGCTGCTCGGCCAGGGCTCCTTCGGTGCCTAATTGCATCTTTCCAGCTCGGAGCCCCGCCTGGGCTTTCCAAAAAAATGCGGGAGGGGGAAAATAGCAGCTTGTGAGACCTTTTCCGTGGGAAATCCGGTGCTTCTCGGAGTTGAAAGGGGGTGTGGGGCTGTTGGTGGGATTTGTGGTGGGAGCACTGGAGTCTGGAATGGAATTTCGGGTGGTTCTGGAGGGTCCTGGCACCTTGGTGTGCTCCCAGTCTGAGCCACCCCAGCGTTACTGGTGCCAGTTTTCCTCTGTCCACCGTCCCTGTGCTGTGTTGGAACAGGATTTGCTGTCCCCAGCTCTGTCACTGACCCTGTCCCCAGAGTGGCTGCTGGGGGGCCAGTGACCCCCCAAAACAGCAGCACTGAGCCCGGGAGTCCTTCAGCCTCGCCTTCTCTCAGCTCCCTGCCAGCACTAATCCTGGGGCAGAATCCTGCTTTTCCCACCCCAATCCCGCCCTGGCAGGGAGCTGCCAATGCCAGAGCACTGGCTGCTGGCAGGGAGATCCAGTGGGTGGGCCTGGGATCCCTGGGAGCTCTGCCTATGGCACAGCTCCAGCACTTGGGGCCTTTGGAGGGTCACCTGGGGAGTCCTGAAACTCTGAGGAGTCCTGGGATTCCAGGGAGCTCTGGGATTCCAGGGAGTCCTGGGATTCTGGGGAGCCCAGCCTGCCCTGGATCCCTGGCTGTTCTGGGAAGCCCTGAGGTTCCTGGGAGATTTGCCTGCCCTGGGTTCCTGCCCCATTCCAGGGAACTGATGGTATCCCCTGGGTCTGCAGTAGAAATAATCCCCTGCCATTGTTTCCCGAAATAAGTCCCTCTGGAGGAAGCGCCAAGGGGAGGATGAGGTGTTATATCCCTGTTGTGGCTGCAGTGTCCCCTTCTCCTTCTGTTTGTGTTGGGAGAAGAGCTGGGATGTGGGAACCCACCTCTGTATTCCCCGTCCCTGGGAAGAGATGGAGTGTAGCACATCTTCCCTCTCGCCCTTTCATCCGAGCAGAGGGAGGTTTCCAGGCTGGGATTTTCTTGGCACCCAAAGAGCAGATTGGGGGTTTTTGGCTCTCGTGCCGGAGCCTCTCCTGGCTCCACCACGTCCTTCCCAGTGCTCTGGAATTTGCCCGGTGGCGCGGGATGACCCGGAGGCCGCGGCCCCCCCGCAGCACCCGCTGGCGCTGGGCTGCAATGGATTTGTGGAATAAATCTGTGGAGCGTGGCGGGAAGGGCCGGATCCTGCCCACATCGATCGCTCTCCGCCGGGCAGCGGCTCCGGATAATTGCTGTGGTGCAGGAGATGGATCGGGGCTCTTCCCTAATTAACTGGGGGATTAATGGCTCGTGTGGAGGGAGCCGGCACCGGAGAGCTCCGGGATAAATGGCCCCTGTGCATGGAAGTG